GTCGTGCGGCTTGCATTATAACAACTTGCAGCTGCGGCGGGTAAATCCACCCTGGAGTAGTCGTACAGGATGTAACTTGTAAAGTCCGCGAGCGGGGTGAGATGTGTCTTGACCTGTGCCGGGAGAGGGTGGGGCAATGTTCTGCGGGTTACTGGGATGCCCTGTGTTTCTTGCTAGGTTCGGACAATGCAAATGTTGGCAAAATGACCATTGCCGGATAGCAGCATGAGCTCACCGAGTCCTGTTGCTCCTGCGGTGTAATGTCAAAAGCTTTCAACGCGGCCCCAGCCAGATGCTGTGCACTAGGGTTCATTTTTTGATTTGTGCAAGTGCTTCCATTCCGTAAAGTCAGTATCTCTCTTTGGGTTCGAACTCTGACCTACGGAGTCTGCCATGTCTCTACTTGCAATATGATGCACATGCCTCTCAACTTTCGACACGTTGAACTCCTCAGAGCCAGGTCCGGCTGATTGCGGCGATCTGGAGACGCAGCACGCGGCATGGCGCTTGGGCAAACTCCGTCGTTCGTGGAGTGTGCATGCCGCAAAGGCGCATATCCATCATCCATCCATGAGGCCCCATTCTGAGACGAGAAAGGTCCTGGATTTTCTGATGGAGCATCCGCGCCGGTGCTTCACGCTGTCCTGGCCTGGTCTTGGCTAAGCAGCAGTACCACCCAAGGCTGCGATTGTTGCGAGCCAGGCACATGTTTCCGGCTGTCCACACTATGTGGCTGATGCTGGTCGTCGTTGGCCTCAACGTTCTGGGGACGATCGTGATCTTGATCCAGGTGCCGGAAGTGCGCGCAAGTGTCCAGTCTGGGTAGACTCGAGTGTGGGACGGACTTGAGTGTAGATGTTCAGGACTTCCACAGCCCGGCTTTCAAGGGGCTGCATGCCCATGAAATCTTGGGCAACGCCTTGTTCCGACCTCAGTCATGCACGTACGAGAAAGTTGGGGCAGGGTTCGTGCACTTCCCCCAATCTCAGCGATCTGACGGCGGATCCTGCCCGGTGACCAAGACTGCCGTCTGTTGTGAAGATCTCATGTAGAAAGTACGGTGAGTTGGTGCCCCTGCAAGAAATATATTTTCCAGTTTCGTCTCTTGTGCAAGACAGATGAGGGTGAATTAGATATAGCATGGAGCCGGGGCACACGCCGGCACTGCGAGCTGAATGCGTTGGTTTTGAGCTCTGAGTTCATTGTCCGGTGCTTCTGCGAGAGTGTTGCATTCAGCTCTTCCTTTGGAGGCCTCCTTGCATTTTCTGTTGAGGGCCCTGGCCATCAAAGGCTTGTTCGGCCTGATGAAATAGAATTCAAGACCTAAGCTCGGTCAGCAAGCTTTTGCTGTGTCCTCTTGTCCGGTGCGGAGTGGGGAGCGAAATTGCGCACGTTTGAGTACGATGGTCAGTCCAGACTTGTTATGTCTTTTACTGGAGCTGGGGGCAGATGCATTGTCTTGATTTCGCGGGATGGCTCAACCGCAACGACGTTGTGAGGATTCGTGTGGTTTTCGGTTGCTGTCTAACAAGCGAACACTCTTCCGGCCTTTGGACTTGGCACTCTCAGAGCTTGTTTTCTGGACGGCTGATTGCGACGCACGTACATCCAACACACGGGTACTGACTGCAACAGCGTCAGGGTTCCAGGTACTGCAACTCCAAAATGAAGATCAGGTTGAAGGACTTGAAAAGTCTGCATTTGCTCTTGCTCAGTTTCCAGACGGTCTCGACACGCACGGCAGGCAGCTGGGAGAGAAGTTTGGGCAAGGGTTCTGCAGCCGCTGTCATGTCAGACAGAACTGTGTGTCCATGACATGCAGGAATGAATTCGATCAACATCGCACAGCTGCCTAGCTGCACTATCTCTTCGGACAGTCGCACTTTGGGTTTCAGCTTGTCAAATCCTGGCATCGCAACGTTGCAGTGCCTGTGCTGGTCCAAGGCTCTCGCAGGGCACAACCTTCTTCATGGCTGTGATGTTCCTTGCTCACTTGACAAAAGCTACAGTGAGAATCGATGTCTGGAAGCCATGACAGGATGTACTTTTCCACGACGCCCACGGCCACGCCCTTGGCGGCTGAACATACGACGCCCAGTGCTTCTAGCTTATCCATGCGGTCGACTCGAAGACAAGGTTGTTACAATGCGGCTCTCGGCGGCGACGTATCTTGCCCGTACTGTTTTCATGTTCTCGAAGGTCTGTCGGTTGATATTCCATCGTTTACGGATGATTTCTTGATGCAGCCGCCATATGTCGACACCGCCTGCCAATCTCCGAAATTGATTACCAGTCCGTCGCTCGCGGTAGCATTGCTGGCGCAAAAAAATGATTGCAACACAGCGCCTGCGCATGACGTTCGCTGTGCGAGGCATGAGCTTGACATCACCGGACGTGTCGAAGGTGTTGAGGAAACGGTCTTGACTGGATCTGAGAACTCGTTGAAGGGCCAGGCTTGCACGAGTGGTTCATGTGAATTTGCAGAAGAATGTACCAGGCATTACCTAGTCAAATCTAGTCAATGTGTTTGCCAGGCGCGAAGATACTTAACCCAAGATGCTACATATCTCGTGGTCTCTGCCCGAGTTCTCCACTGTTCGTACCAAGCTGGCACGGTCATCAGCAACTACTGACTCATGGCCCAGGTCATATGCTTTTTGATTTGTTGCTTCGAGCAGAACAATTTCGCCAGGCCCGTATGACGAGAATCGTGCTGCACGGTAGCGATTGTTTCTTACCTGTTCTGATTCAGTTTCAGACTTTGTGTGGCCAGGGCAGCCAAAGACCCATCGCCTGACAGCGATGGCATCTACACAGACTTTGGGTTTTTCAAGGCTCTCTGCAGGACAGTTTGGTCTCGAGCCTTCGGGCGCGGTTGGGATGTCGGTCAGCTGGAAATGGTACAGGTTCTGTTCGAGTTGCTCTCGGCGTATGGCACTTGCGGGCTCAGCCTCGGATACGAGCACTGCTGGCGAGTGTTGTGGGTAAGTGCAACATGTCGAGTCATGTCGAGCCCAGTGGAAGGAATCAGACATTCTCCTTTAGTGGTGTTTGGAGTCCCAGCCCCAGAAGTGCGGATGTGAGTCGGGACCCGTTGCCACCTCGTACTCAGCACCTTCACACACTGCCACATCATACCTTGACTTGCCATGCAGGTTTCAGGACGGGTTCAGGTTGTGCATTGGCCCCTCAGTGTTGGGTGGTTATGCTTCTCACAACACGTCGTAAACGGACCTGAGCCTTGCCTTAGCATGGGATCCAGGGGGCCCATGATGACGCCTTCCAGTGCGATGCATCTAGGCGAAGCCTCACAGCTCCTGCTGGTGTTCACCATGATCCTAGGGCGCTTGAGGGGGCACGGCCCTGAGACTGAGCTGGCGCGAAGCAAGTGCCACGTGCAGTCCTGTGCTGCGAGGCTTCCGGACTCGATCGATGCCTCAGTGCGTGCAGCCATGACGACCGACGACGATGGCGTGAAGGAATGGAAAAAGAGCCTCTGCAGCGGCCGTTGAGATGACCCTGTTCCAGCAGGAAGAGGATTACGACTTCGTGCATTTCTGAATCGCACCATGTCAAGTTGGATAATGACCTGTCCCGCATCGGCCACAATGCTGTTAGTGGGCGCTTTGACCTTCATCCATGCAATGCATGTGATCTGTAGCGAAAACTTTTAATGTTCGATTGCAGATGCCGCTTTAATATTACAGTGAGCAAAGGAAGAGCATGCCGCACTGCTGTCCAGAAGTATTCGGAGTGAACCTGACAGGACACGAACGGCTTTAGATTTGTTGTGAGGGCTCACGCCTCGACAGGCTCATCCTTGTGTTGCTCAGGCTCAGGACTGATGGCAAGGACCTCCGAAGCCTGCGTCACTTCCTGCGTGAAGAAAGATGCCCGATATCACCTTCGATTGCATTCTTGTGACATGCAGTGTAGTGTTGTGAGATTATCGGAAGCATGCTTGCAAGTGCTCAGGCAGCTCCAGAACTAGTGAGGAGATATTCGCGCCGTGCATGTCACTTCGCAAGGGACGTTGCCACGTATGAATACTACAGTTATTACAGATTGTGTCCGTCGACGGCAGTGCCACATTGATTGATCGCTACTAAACGCTGATCATGTGTCGTCAGCAGTCAGCAATGTGCCCTTCAGCAGCCGAAGGCTGAAGTTCTGCAGTGCCTCTGGAGGAGTTAGCATCCAACAGGATGTGATAGTTCCGAGGTGCTGCCATGTCCGGCTATACTGTACTTACTGTACTTGATTGATCTCCGACAAGGGCAGCTGCCTGTGCATAGGGTCGACGCCATTTGAACTTCCATGCTGCCGCTTGTCCACGAGGGCAGCTCAGCATAGTGTTGGAGATGGGATTCGTCGAGTTTGAGTCAGCTTTGTGAGTTTCGTGTGGTTGCAGGGCAGTGCGCAAGCTGATGATCACAGGGCCATCGAATTCCCTGAGAGGCTTGACAGGCCGGATGGGCCCTAATCCGTGTCCAAAGGACTTGAGACGCACGATGCCGCATGATGGACATTCTGCGTGCGCCGAAAACAAGTTCTGCTCCTCCTCACTCATGCAGAAGGTGATACCTTAGGACCTTTGAGCAAGGGTGCTGCAAGCGCTGATAACACACCCGCCGCAACGACAAGCTACAGCATTTCGCAGCTACAGGAAGCAGGCTGCCTTGCTAGAAACGACCCTTGCAGCGAAGATACTTCAGCCTGCACCCCGAAGTCTCACAGCTCTGTTTCCAAGGGCTCGAGCATGAATGTTGTGGTCTGCGGTCAAACTATCAACAAGCTCCAAATGTTCCTGTTGGTTGTCGGCTCACAGCTGTCCCCTGGCTGGAAGCAATAAAGTAATCACGAGCATATCAAAGGTAAGGCTTGCGAGGAAATTTGCTGTTAGCTGAAGCCTAAGCTGTGCTCGCAGGGGAAGAATAAGTGAGGTCTGCCAGGGGGGTGCACACAGGAGCCCCAAGCTCAAGTTCCACCTGTTTCAGAGCATGGCGAGACGTGGAAACTTGGAAAGCTGGGAGTACTGCGACAAGATATTGGCCGAGGCATGGCAGGACAGCCGCGATGGTGCCGTTCGTAGTCTGCACTCTCATCCATTGCTTTTCTGGCTTGGGCTGCTTGATATGCAGCAGGACGAAAAGCCGCGACTGGTCACAGCAGATGTTCTGCTGGGCATATTCGAGGATGGTTTGATGCGGTTTGCTTCATCGATCATCTGAGGCCGAGAACCTGCGCCGTTTGTTTGGTCCATGTAGATGCGATGCAGGAAGGCGCTGAAACCGAGGTTGCTGTGCCTCTTGACGAGGTGCCCCCCGAATTCCGATGTCGGAAGTGACCGCGGCAGACTGTGCTGCGGTGCTGCGCGAGCCAGGTGTTCGCTTCGCCTCGGCCCTCTGGCTTGGGACGCCAAGCCGACCGCCTTCTGGGAGGCACACTTTTCAACTGGCTGGGAGCGTCTCAGCGTCTCAGCGTTTCCCTTGGCGGATCTCGGCGGTCAGGGGGCCTCTGGCCCGGAGAAGTTGCAGAAGTCTACGGTGCTCCGGGCGCAGGAGTGGCCAATTCGGCTTGCGTGACATTTCCAGGGCAGTTGGTTCATCCCCGAGTCAGTCAGCGATCTCGCACTGCTGCTGATGAAAAATACAGGCAAAACCCAGCTGGGTCTCTGCCTTGCAATGCATGCAGCTTCCAGCGGCATTGCGGTCCACTACCTCACGAACAAGGCGGGCAGTCTGTCAAGCTGGCGAACTGTACAGTGTCAAAAGTGTGAACGTTAGCAGGATCCTCCGGCAATTCTGGCCAGACGGTTGCAGACTCTTGCGCTGGCTCGAGAAGAGGCGAGGACGCGTGGAAAAGTAAATCTGCTGAGTAAATGTCGTGTAAGGTGACTGTGACTGCGGAGATACTGTTGGACAAGATTCGCATCTCTGACATGGCAGACTTCACAGATCCTTGGTCACACACATGAGGAGTTTCAATCTTGCAGGGATCACCAAGAGCAAAAGATGGTGAAAGGGGCAATGCATGTGCAGAAATGATCAGCAATGAGTTGTCTGGCGAAGTTAGTTTTGCTGATCTTCTTGACCGGACAAATCAGATGCAAACCTGACGCAAAAATGAAATTTGCCGGAGCGCGTGCAGTCCTTGTTTAGAGCTGCGAGGCGTTTGCCAGACTCATGACGCATGCGCTCGCACGGCCGGAGTCCATGCCCGGCTTGGCGGGCTGGGCCAGATTACTTTTGCCTTTGAAGAGGAGCCGGGGCTGTGCTGAATCTATGCCTTGGAGTTGCCAGATTGTGCTGGATGGTCTGAGCGTGCTGCTGTCGCCATTCACATCTGCAACAAGTTGGTCGCACAGGCCTGGTGCAGTAGCAGGAACACTCGGTATCTTCAGGCTGCTCTAGACTCTAGACCCTTGCCCTAGACTGGGGCCCGAAGCTTCTATGCCATACGCAGAGGAAGCAGAGAGTCTCCAGGTGGCGCTTGACTTGGAGCTGGCGGATGCTACGCCAGCTTGCCATGGCAGGCTTGCAGAGTGACGGCAAACTACGGCGCTACGGACGGTTGTTCAGTTCAAGCTGTGTGCTGCCAGGCTGCTGTGTTGTTCTCCTGTCTCACACAGCTGGGTCAATGGGCACTTCCCAGCTCGCGTTGGGGCAACAGTGGTGACACGGCTGAAGTGACCGGCGTTCGAAGGCACTGCTTTACTATGCTTTGCTTCGGAGTGTCCTCAGGTCTCATGCTGCCTCTGTCCGCCTGGAGCGACTGTGGTTCGTATCGCGAATCGCATTGTGTTCTGTGAGTTGAGATCGCAGAGAGTGAGAGGAAGTGAGACCTTGCAAAATGCTGTTCCCAAGCTACTGCCTCGGCGAAGGCAGAGATGCGAACAAGTGAGCTAAGGGAGTGAAACTGCTGCTGTCTTCAGATGTCTACAGATCTGCGATCTGCGCAGGAGCTGAGCCGCCCATTGGCAGGAAATGCGCTGCGCCTCTGCCTGCGTGCTCTGGCGACAGTGTTACACGACTTTTTGGGAACATCAGGTTTGTGCGCTGTTCAATCTGTCAATCTGTATGTAGTGCGCTTTGCTGAGCTGCAGTTTACCCGGGACGGCAGACTAAGGTAAGAGCTGCCGCCAGCAACTCTGTTCCCTGCTGAGAGCCCACTGATCGAATGCATTGGGCTAATGTGGATGCTGCGTTCACACCGTGGCAAACGCCCAAGGTCAAACCACTGATGGAGGAGACGAGGCGGAGCTTGGGGCAGATAGGGAAGATACGTAGCAGGGATGTAGTCCCCAGGCTGTCGCACGAACAATGCATCGGAAGTTTTCGACGTAACATATGATTTCCACCTTGGTTTATCCGTTCAGCGCAGCTCTGGCACGGCGGGAGGAAAGAACCATCCACTGCATCGCACCAACCCCTTCCATAGTGTGCCAGACATCCGACAGTTGCAGCGCAAATGCAGCGGGCCGCACCTCGGTTGGTGTAGGTGTACGATGCATTGGGCAGGTGGACAATGCTCTCTCTGCGGACTTGATCATTGATGAGGCTTGGACACAGGTCAGGCAGGTGGGAAGGTAGGGCCAGTTGCCTCCCCGGTGGTACTTGCATGCTTTGTAGCAGCAAGCAAGGCTAGTTGCTTTCATCGCTTGTTCTTGGCACCCTGTTTCCTGAAGCCTGGGCATTGCACGGTCAGCATGCTGATTTGAGTCGCAGGCCGGCATTCATGTATCTTCTTCGATGGCAAATCCCAGGCATTCGCTGTTCGTGCTTCCTTTGTGTGTTGCAGTAGCCGCAACGGACGACGTGCTACAGTCGTGTTTATGTAAACATCTTGTGGCACCCTGATGCAGGCCTTAATGCATGGGCCTGGCTTGGCATGCACCTGCAGGGGTCAATCAGGCCTTGCTGACATGCGTAAGTCACCTCTGCATTCCAGTGCCTATTTGCATTTGGCAAGGTGAGGACATTGAACTTCCGGAGCACGCCGACTCTGAGGGCATGGAGCGGGGAACTGCAACGGCATGTCAAAGTGCTCCGCGAAAAATGCTTGCAATGGCTTTGGTACGTTTCGGGCTGCATAGCTCGAAGAAGTTGCAAAAGCATCCAGCTCTGCCAAGCAGTTTCCGATTTTGCATTTGGTCCGACTTGGTCCGGTCGTGGGTAGCTCTGGCGCTGCAGCTGCCTGGCCGCTGGTGCGCCAAATCTCGTCCCTTGACGACGGCTTGTTTCAATGCCCTGACCGCAAGGCACCGCCAGGCCAGGGCAATCTGTGGCATGGAGACCCCGAAGAAGGACACCGAGGGATGCAGGTTTCGGTTGGCCTGTTCATCGTGGTTCGAGGCCTTCATGACAATGTCATGTTGGAAACCTTGGCGACGGCAGCTGCTTCTCCAATCCAGTTCGTGCTGTGTGCATTTGTGTGCAGCACAATGCAGCACATCTGGCCTGGCACGCTGCAGCAACCGAAGACATCTTGCGTCGCACAGCATCGCATGCGCGGAAGCCGCAAGAAATGCAGTGGGTGAGTTGAAAGGGTTTGTGTGCTTCGCGGATCAGCTTGCGCGTGTTCGATTCATCGATTCGTTCGAACAGTCTCCTGCATTGCAGCTTTCTCGTGTGTTGCACTTCCTCAGTCAGAGTGGCAAGTCTGCGCGGCACAGCAGAAGTCGACAAAGTCGACAAGTTCATTTCGGCCCATGCAAGTGGCGGCAGCGACAGGATTTCAACAGCAGTCGGGCATCGGGCATCCGAGTACTTTCGGATCCAGCTTTTTGCCACATGAGGGTGCGCCCTGTGCAGGAGTCGGAAGCCCATGGAGGCCAGGGGGACAGCGAATCTTCGACTTGCCGGAATCCTTAGACTGCAGACGTACGGGCAACTCAAACGCGAAGGGCATGTCCAGTCTTGGATGTTTGAGGCTACAACTCCAGCCCGGGAGCAGCAACACAGGCCTTGCGGATATGTGTTGCTGAATTTGATTGACAAAGAGCACTCGCACAACTCCCTGAACCATGCTTTTGCTCTTTGAGTTCTTCGGACACCTTTAGCCAAGCCGCCTTCCTTTGGCATTTTGCCGTGTAGCACACACCTGTTTGTGCGAAGTGACAACTTCATATCTCACCATCACACCGAATCGGTCTGGGGATTTACTCACCGATTCCTTCGAACTTATGCATACTCCGTGGCCATTTTGGCATAAGCTTCGAAAGCTTGAGAATTTTGTTTCAGTCCCCCTGGTATCACTCCTCGGGCCATAGTCCGCTGGTGGCGGCCAGTACTTCGAGTTCTACTACGACCGCTGCTAGCGGCCGGTCATGGCCGGTCCTTGGAGCACTAAGACTTCTCTGTCGGTTGTTGACAGTTTGAAGGAATCGCTCGAAGAGTTCAGTCGTGAACAAGTCCTCAAAGATTTTCAGATCGAAAAGCCTGAGGATGTGAGTTGGGGAGCCTGGAACAAACGACAATCCCGACAAATACGGAAGGCCGTCGATCAGATCGCCCTGTGTCGGACAGGCGACGACATTGTGAACCTGGCGGTGACCCGCCCAACCTCGAGGCCTTCCTCTACTTTCACATCAGCAACCGCGAAGACACCGACGAGTCCCTGACCGTCCCCTTCGACATCGTCGTGTCTTCGGTATACCCCGACACAGATCATGCACCTTTGCCCCCGGACACCGAAGCAGCCCTTCTTGTACATGAGACTGAATTGCATAATCAGCATTTGGCAGAGATTTTTCGCGATGATTTTGGCATTGAACTGCCTAACCCCGCACCCGCTACCTCTACAGCTTGAAAGCGAACCTTCCAAGGGCATCTTAAGCCTGCAACTTCGAGAATCATCGATTTGGATTAGGAACATCGTAGCCATGGCTCAGCGACGCTCAGACTCCTGGTTTGACTTCCTTTTCGGGGGTACCACGACAAACCTCGTGGCTCCAGTTCCGGACTCTATGGTCGAGGATTACCCCAAGGAAGCCGGTTCTGACAGCAGAGTTCCAGTGAACAGCATACGCCGATCGGTGTGTCCTCGCATCTTGGAATCCAAGAATTGCAACGCCATCAATTGCCACCACTTGCACCCCGACTTTCTCAACGAAATCTGGGTTGTCCCCGATCTCATTTGCCATAAGTGGTTTCAGGGTTAGGATTCACATGATTCGATGCCGCGATGCGGCAGAGCACCGCTTCGACGGGATGAACCACCTTACCACTACTCGTCCCCAAGTGGTCGCATGGCTGACCCTGCTCCGCTTTGCCGTCGACAGCGGTGCAGATCTGGTTGGCGAAGTGGCTCAATGTCGTTTGGCCGCAGCTTCGGACTTGTTCCAGGCTTCAAAGTCGTAGTACTTCGAGAAATTCGTGCCGAAGTTGAACTTTCTCATCTGAGTGTGTCGAAAAGTGGCCATCGATTTCTCGATCCACTCGCGTGCCTGGGCCCGGTTGACTTGCTGGACATAGCCACCCTTGGGAACCGACCGCGACTGAGCAGACTTCACTGCCCGACACTTTGGCTCCGTGCAGATGGGCGACGTCGCACAGTTCGACATCGAATCAGTAGCCCAACACATCGAGACGGCGACACAGCATCGACAGTATGTTATGGTGATCACAGCCGGACCTCCTTGTCCGGATTTTTCCAGTCTTCGGAACCAACCCAAAGGCTCCGGTGGTTCCTCCGGATGGCTTTTCAATGATTTGGTTGGCGTCGAACATCAACTACGGAAACGTTTCACCGGTGTTCCCATCGAGACAGTCTTCGAGAACGTGGTCCCTCACCCTGGCGTACGCGACAACCTCGTCGAACTCATGTCGCCTTTGAGCATGGATCCCATCGTGGTGGACGCAGCAGACTCGGGTATCATGCACCGCAAATGCCTTTGGTGGACCTCGATGCCCGAACTTCATCGATGAGAAACTTCCTCAGTTGACTCCGTGGTCACTCGACTGGCGCCTGGATGGCGATTGGGACCGACTACACAACCCGATCGCTGCGGAACTCCAACAACCCATTGTCACTGACGGATACTCACCGCCACAGTGTCTCCACAACGACAAGAAGCTGTTCCATTGTTTGACGACGCCTTCTACATCGATAATGGGCCGAGAACCACCGAAGCACAGCTCAACGACCGGTCCACATCTCAAGAAGCCTGGCAACGTCGGGAACAAGATCACAGACGATACCCGACTTGGCAATACGAAAGCCAATTCCTGGTCACACTTCCCGATGGCTCCTGGTCCACGGCACCAGCATCACTTCGAGAACAACTACAGTACAAGGTCTACCATTCGACTACACCAAAGACCTCGGATCAGGAGACGAGACCAAACGGTCCATTGCCTTGGGCAACGCCTGGCATCTCCCTGCGGTGATTTGGATCTTGTTGCTACTTCTGCTCGGGACGGTTGATGCGTCGATCCCGACGGCACCACGAATCTCAGCCTTACAACATGTTACTACATTCTGGCTACACCATCGAGTGCCTTTCGGCCCACCGCCCCGACCTCCGAGCCACGATTACATGCCCTAGTTCTCCTGGACAGAGCACTTGGAATGGGCCTTGAACAGGGATACACACCTGTCACCGAAACGACTCCATCCCACTCTGGAATGGTGCATCCAACATCGACATGTCTTTCATCCACTCCCCGAGTTGCAGAAAGCAGTGAGCTCCGACATACAAAACCTCGTCGAAGACATGGAGGAATACACGATGGCATGGTTTCACACCCTTCCCGAACATGTACAACCAGCTTATCGCCACAAGGACTCCGTGACTCAAATCCCCGTTCTCATCCACTTCCTGCGCATGATACATTATCCCCAGACTGAATTGATCTACCGCGAACTCTCCGATGGTTTTCCCTTAATGGGCAAATTGACATCTGGAGTCAACTGGCGCGTAAGACAAGATCAGAAATACCTCGAGCCGACTCCAATCGCCGAATTCAGCGACAAGAATCGCCAGTATATCACCGAGAAACTCGAGAAGAACGCGGTCGACGAACGCTGGGAGTTGATGCTCGACGAGATCTTGGCGGGACATGGGACGCATGAACGGCCCGTACCACGCTCCCGCTTGGTGGACACGATCGGCTACGAGCCCGCCCAAAGGTGCACATCAACAACTACTTCCTTTACCACATGCGGATCCTTACGTCGCGATGGCTTTCAGCCTCGAACAGACAGGGAGCGACGGGAAGAACAAGATTCGCCGCGGCGAAGATTGGCGTCGTAGTGGACACAACGCCACCTGCACCATGCACGACCAACCTTGTCACCGCACTCCCGATCATTTCATTTCGCTAGGCCTTGATTCTCTCGGTCACGATCCACGACGACCTCTTTCAGTTTAGGGACACGACCACGATGGAGCATATCGACAACTACCACTTCGCGACCCACGCGAAGCATATGTCATGCTGACTACTCCGGACGGCCCGACTCTTTGGAGCCACAACGTTCTACTCTTCGGATCGGCAGCCAGTGTCTGGTCGTACAACCGATTCGGGGAAAAGCTCGTTGCTTGCAGCCGGACGATGATCCTCTCTCCGGCAATGCACTACGTTGACGACTATGGCTCCATGGAAGACTCCGACTTTGCCAAGAGCAGCTTCGAATCCTTCGAGGAGTACAATGGATGCTTACAAATCTCGATGAAGCCGAGCAAGCGGCAACCGCCATAGACATCACAACGGATCCAGGGTGTGATCATCTCCTCCGATGCAGACAATCTCATTCTTACCCCGTGCCCCAAGAGAGATACGACGATGTGTCAACAGATTGACCAACATCTTGAACTCGGTTCTTTGTCACCGGAACAAGCCCGGAAGATGGCGGGCAAGTGCAATTTCCTCACCGGACGACTGTTCGGGAAAGTAGGCCGAGCTGCTCTCAAAGCACTATATGCTCGAGCTCACTCCCGCACTCATACTCTCGACAAACCCACCCGATCCGCTTTGTTGGCATTCAAGGACATCATACGCCACTGTCGACCGATGACGATCCCACGATCACCTACTCGACCTGTTTACAGCGTCATCTACACTGATGCCTACTTTCGACTCGGTTCCAACATCTACAGGCCCGGCGATCCTGACATGGGAGGCGAAACAGACGTCCGAGATAGAGAACGGATGGGCGGCCGTTTGCTTCCACCATTGGTGATGTGCAACGTGCCGCCTATTTCCAAGGTCGTCTTCCATCACTTCTAGTCACTCTAGTCCGACAGTTTTCTGCCGATCGAGCCTTCGTTTACCTCCTCGAGGCATGGGTGGCTGTGACAACGAAGCTTCGAGACACGCCTTGCTCAAGGGCGTAGGCAAGCACCAACCCCTCAACTGCCTGATTGCGGCACATTGGAGGTGGCACAACCGGCGCAGTCTTGCACATCGACTCGAACGAGTTCCTACCAAGGCCAACATCTCCGATGGGATCAGCAAGCGCCACGAGCGGCTCAAACCTAGGGATGGGTTGTAGTTTCCTCGCCATGGAAGTTGCTGCGTTACAGTGATTTTTAGGCATGCTTGATTTTTCACTGTACATGCTTTTCATCTGCTTTTTCGCGGAACAAGTTTTCTCGCGTGGAAGCCGAACTCCGGCCCCCTCCTGGAAACCCCGAAGGCATGGAATACACTTTTCTATATTTTCTATCATTTCATTGCTTGGTTTTTCGATGCGCATCCAACCTAACTGCATGGCATGGATCTTTGAGTATGTGGCGACGTATGCAACTGCTTGTTCGCTCCTGCAACCATGCGAGCCATCTTGGTCATGGACTTGCAGGCCTGCTGCTTTAGGGGAAAAAGAGGCGCGCTGCGCAATGCGGCAAGCCCCTGCAGTACACCTTAGCAGTGGAGAGCTTTTGCTCCTGTCACACAGTCATGTTTGGAACGGCGTCAGTGATTTGTACTTTGCCTACAGTGCTTTGCTTTCGGAGCCTCTTGGAGGGAATCGCAGCTTTGTGGACAGAAAGTTTTCGGAAGAGTTTGGCGAGGATGCTACAGCCCAGCTTCTGCTTCAGCTCGTCCCGGTCCCAAGTCCGGGAGCCATCAATTTTACAAGAGCACAGCTACGAGGCAATTTGATGGCTGGCGTGAGGGTTCCCCCCGGGCCCCCCACGGGGGGAGAACCACAGCACGATAACAGCTCGTGCTCTTCCCGCGGTGGGAAGACGGTGGGCGGCGCGATCTTGCACCGGACAACTGCACAGGATCGCAACAGGATGCCACGTCCTGTGGCCGTGCCTTTTGTTCGGTGTGCCGTTTTTTCGGCCCCTCACCAGTGCTTCTCGGTCTTCAGTTTTCTCTCAGAGGGTTGCCTACAGCTACATTTACAGTTCAGGCGCCAGGCGGCAGATTGTCGCACTCGGTGCAGGGGTCGTAGCCCCCTTGGTCTGCAAGAACTTCTTCGTCGGGATGGAGTGTTGAGAGCCGCTTACCGGCCCATACAGCTGCGCTTGGTCCTCGCCCACGCTCATTGGTCAAAACAGTGTGCTACCCTGCCTTGCATGTTACATCTGGTGCGACATTCCTCGGCTGAGGTTTTGGTTCTGATTTCGATTTCTCTGCGGAAGAGCATAAGAGATGTGGCTCCGTGTGCCTGCGAGGTGCACTGTTGTTGCATCCGCCCTCTGGGTGCTCCTTTTCAGAGAAGTTTCTTGAGGTCCTTCACCTGGTGCTTGCAATGGCGGGTGCCTCTGGTAGGCCCCGGTGATGCTGTGGAGTGCGCAGCACTTTGCCCTCGCTGCGGTACTGTTGGCTACAGGCCCTTCCGTGTGGGGAGCCGTCTCTCGGCCCATTCAGCTGCACGTGGAGATGTACAGGGTCTTGATCAACTTTTGTCCCCTCATAAACCCATGCAAGGCGGCCCTGTTTACTGCAAGCCTTTACACGTTGGGTGCCGACTGCCGGCCCATACAGTTGCTTTGACAACGCGATGGTTCTGCTCACAGTGCTACAGAAGCCGTCTTTTGCACCTTTGATTCCGAGAGCTGCATACCGGTCAGATTTGCTACCGGCCTCTGCGTATGGCCCAACCAGCTACACCTGGAGACGTGTCCAACACTTCTCGCAGCGCTTCAGGAGCCGTATATCGGCTCTTTGCTTTCGGGAACTGCAGGGCGGCCCTGTTGACTGCAGGCCCTTCCGTGTTGGGTGCCGCCTGCCGGCCCACCAACTGCATTCGGTGACGAACAATGTTTCAGGAGTTGCCAGCAACTGGAACTCTGCCGAAGAGTCTGGTCTCACTGGCGACGATCATTTTGGCCAACACCCAGTACAGCGTGGTGTCAGCAGGACAATGTGCCAACGTGCCTGCTGGTGGTGGTTAACGCGCCCAAAGCGCGGCTACTTCTTGCTTGAAGCCTTTGGCCCTCCAAGACAGGGTTTGCCATCCTTTCGATTTCTCTGAGAACGGGCAGAAGTGTTGTGGCTTCAGGTCAGTAAGAGCGAGAACGCCTCTGCTGCAGCTGCCTTTGACGGTCTGGCCCTTCGGGGCTTGCGTGGGCGCTCTTTTTCAGAGTAGTCGAAGGGACGAGCTCTTCCCTGTGCTTCGGGTGCCGACAGTCGGCCCTTCTGCTTCGGGTGCCGTTGGACGGCCCTACTTTTTGCGCCTTGTGTTCTGTACAGTCTGCCTCAAGGTGCATGTAGACAGAGTAAATTGGCACTGGGAAACTTCTCCTTTGGTTTACGTCCTACTTCCACTTGCATAGTAGGACGTGGCATTACTGCTTTCTTTTCAGGGCCGCAATAGTCGGCCTGCCGCCCTTGGAAGCGGCACCGCAGTTGTCCGGCGTGCCTGAAAAGGCCGTTCCTGTATCCAATTGCCGATACGGGTACGTAGCGCCCGCTGAATAGTCGACCCGACTAAAGCGTGTGAATGAAAAAAAAACGATGGGATCAGCCGGTTCGAGTACGTGAAAGATTCTGAGGCTTTGACTAAACTCGATTTGCCACTAGTAGCCCTCACTAGCAGAGCGACTAAGATCATCGGTGACATTCACTTTGCCTCTTCCACGGGATTTTCCGACATGCCCGAGATTCACCGATTACATGCCGGTTTGAACTCGATGTTAGTTTGATGTCTCTTCATGCGAGCGGCGTTCGCCTGCGATGGGAGGACGCGACCACCACCGATAGGAACCAGTCGGTCCTCCCAGAGAAAGAAACATCGATCCTTCCTGTACGGAAGATCTACTTCGATCTGTAAGATTGAAACGCAGACTTACGCCACCGATGCGGAAGCAGGTGCAAAATAAGCTCCGCTCGCACCAGGGATTTATGGTACTTCGTGTGAGATCTTCGTTGTCGTGTAGCACACACTTGTTTGTGCGAAGTGGCAACTTCATATCTCGCCATCACACCGAATCGGTCTGGGGATTTACTCACCGATTCCTTCGAACTTATGCATACTCCGTGGCCATTTCGGCATAAGCTTCGAAAGCTTGAGAATTTTGTTTCACCGTCCCTCCACAGCCCTCTATTAATCTCCGATGTTCCTCTGCTTCCAGTCTGCGACAACCGCCTGGGAACCAGTCGGTCCTCCCAGGGAAAGAAACGTCGATCATTCCTGTACGGAAGATCTACTTCGATCTGTAAGATCGAAACGCAGACTTACGCCACCGATGCGGAAGCAGGTGGAAAATAAGCTCCGCTCGCACCAGGGATTTATGGTACTTCGTGTGAGATCTTCGTTGTCGTGTAGCACACACTTGTTTGTGCGAAGTGACAACTTCATATCTCACCATCAGACCGAATCGGTCTGGGGATTTACTCACCGATTCCTTCGAACTTATGCATACTCCGTGGCCATTTCAGCATAAGCTTCGAAAGCTTGAGAATTTTGTTTCACCGTCCCTCCACAGCCCTCTATCAATCTCCGATGTTCCTCTGCTTCCAGTCTGCGACAACCGCCTGGGAACCAGTCGGTCCCCCCAGAGAAAGAAACATCGATCTTTCCTGTACGGAAGATCTACTTCGATCTGTAAGATCGAAACGCAGACTTACGCCACCGATGCGGAAGCAGGTGGAAAATAAGCTCCGCTCGCACCAGGGATTTATGGTACTTCGTGTGAGATCTTCGTTGTCATTAATTGTCGGACTTCCTCTGCTCAGGCATCGCCCACCCTCTGTTTCGACATCAGAACCCACATGCTTGCAATTCTAACCGGCCAGAGACCCGACTGTAAGACCTGCCGTAACGGAGAGGCTCTGTTCCCCAGGCCTTCAGACAGCCAGACCTTAGGGTGACCGGCAACAGCCACCTGCGACAAGAACCGGTCCGTATGCTGCTGTTGGTAAAGGCAGATGAGACTTTTGGAGTGGACTCCGCAGGCGAAGCCGTAGAGGGTTTCGGGTTTAGGGCCTTCGATGTCTTCTGCTTCTTCCGCTTCTGGGCCCTGTTGCTTGCTGAGGTCCACAGCGCTCCGACGAGGCGGTCTTGCAAGAGGCGGCTGATATTTCAGGGCCCAAGGACCCCGGTGCATCCTTGGCTACCCGACACCTGAAACCTTGGCTAAACATCATTTCTGGATGGTGTGCCAGGACTCTGCGACCAAGGTGATTCTCAACTTGCGCTCGTTCAGATCTTATTCCGCTTGTTGCTTCGATGTTCGGCGGAAGCTGTGCGGGGGTCTTTGCGCAATCCAGATGAGGATAGCAGAGAAGAACGGCGGCCAGATAGGATTGCCGAAACTTGTCTGTGTCTCAGGGCCGCTCGGCCTATCTAAAATTGAAGACCGGGGCCTACACGGATGCACCGAGGCAATGCGAGAAATGCAGAGCAGGGAGCTTTTCGTTGCGGTAGCCTGCGCGATTTGAGCATTGTGTGGCGGCGAGCTCCTACAAGGCATCTGCGAAGATGGCGAGGCTGGTGTATGCTTCCTTTCTTCTCCGGAACCGGAGAGGGCGGCGTTTGTGAACCGGTCAGGCTGTGCCCAAGTCCTGGGATCCGTTCAGAGAGGTGGGGCAAGTGTGAGAGGAAGCGTCAGACCTAGCGGACCTAGTCATCTGTGGCATGAGGCAGAGCGGCTGCGAGCAGAGCTTGCAAATGCCAGGCCCAGTCGTCAGTAGAATTGTCTGCAGGTTTCGTGATGCATTCGGTGTGTTTCTGACAGGTCAGAGCTTCAGCGTGTCCAGAAGGCGGCGGTGGAAGAGAGTGATCTGCGGCTGCAGCAGGCACAAGATGGAACATGACATCGGACAAGCTCATTCGCTAAGTGCTACGAGCAGCGGGGTGCTGACATGTGCTTCAACCCCCAATGACAGGCCACTTAAGGTCACGAAAGTACTCGTAGCGTGACCAATGAAGAGTTAGTGCGACCCGTCTTACCAAACGTATGCCAGCATCCCTTGGCACAGTCCGCGGATACCTTGTGTCTAGCGACGCAACTGGTGTCAGGCTTTTCAAGTGGATTCCTTTCTGGTCGAACACAGCAGCGTTGGGGTGCCAGGCGATGCTGCAGTCGAAGGTTCAGGAAGTGGAGCAGCGGGAGGCACGGAACGGGAAGTTGGGGGAACGTTGACAACAAGTTCGGCAAACAGCAGAAGCCACCTTGAGCCTTGCTTGAGATCACATGGTTCTATTGGCATTCACGTCGGATGACTGGGAGTGATGCTAACAAGGTCTCAGGAGTCGCAGGTTCCTCGACTCCGGAGCCTGTCTTGCATTCACACTTGATTTCTGATCTGCAGGCGTGTGGACTCAGTCCGAATTCACATTCAACATGTGCTCCTGCCTCAAGCGTCGATCCTAACCGTCGTAAAGTCCGTATAAATGTATAAGTGTGTGTGTGCATAATCGCATCATGTGTTAAGTCGCGAAGGAGTCGCAATGTAACAGCAACAGCTTAGAGGACGTTGGGTATCCCCAGTGTTCGTATGGAAGGATGTTTGCTCGCTTTGCGGGCCTTTGCCATACACTGGCTTGGCATTTCGGCCACGGCGGATCACAGCCATCGGGCGATGTAATTTGGAGTCCGCGGCCTCACCTGTACGAGAGCGGATCTCAAAAATCATTGTATCCGAGTGGCGGTCCTGTCGCAATTCTCAGTGGAGCCAGCTGCCAACTACATGGGAGCATTGTGGAGGGAGGCTTTACAACGCTGTTGGTGGAGTACTACTCGTCTGGGTGTCCGCACTGCTGGTACTTCGCCCCCGTCTTCCAGCAGGTCGCACAAGCGTACAAGGGCTCAGATACCATCCGCGTCGCTGCCTGCAACTGCGTTGAGAATGAGGATGCTTGTGATGCAATGCAAATCTTTCGCTATCCCACGCTGCGGGCCTACAAAGCTTCTTGGGCAGTACTTGTGTAAACGGGGCACCCCCGAAGCTTAGAGCTCCAATATCCGGCGAAAGCACCTTCTGAACCAAGGTTGGCACAGGAACACTGGACTTGCTGTATGACGTGCCGCATTTCACGGAGAACCACCAGAAATCCGCACAGGAGTTGGTGCAGTGGCTCTCCGAACGATCCGCCTTGTGGACTCCACCTCATCCTCAAAGCCTGAAGTCAGGCCGGAAGGGCTTTTCATCACATTCCCGTATTGTTCTGCTGAAGCGTCGCGCGGTGGCCCTGGGCCTGTGCCCGAGGTGCTGTCTTCCGTGTGGGCCATGCCGTGGCAGTCGATGGGCCTCCTGGTAAGACAGGCTCTTTTGCGTGCAACGGGCCGAAGCTTTCAGGGTCGCTGTCTGTGCGGAGGTTGGGCCATGGACTATCACCTCGACGACGAGCGCTTTGTGGAAGCTCGACTGGGGCTGTTGGTGCTGCTCAAGGGCCTCTTGCCCGATCCGGTATCTGGGTTTCTTTGTGACAGCATCTCCTTTGGCCCGGTTCTCGAGGCTACTCCGGTGTACAGCAGCATCCTGCAGCGGTTAGCATCACTAGCTTCGTCTCCCGCGTCTTTCCACGCCACAAAGCTGACTTTCGCAGCCTGGTGACTGGGCAGAGTAAGATGGTAGCAGTTTACAGCGATGCCTCCCTTGTCCGACTTTGCCATGTTTGTGCTTGTGGCTTCAAATTTTCCATCCCGCCCATAACCATGCCAGCGGCTCACGAGGCAGTGCAAATACAGGATCGTGGCCCTGTCCAGCCGTGGGAGATGCGCCAGATGCTGAAGAAGGCCTGTGCAGGGGCGAGACAGGTCTTGAGGCTAGCTGGCCTCATGCTGTTCTGTCGCTCCATTTCCCTGACGCAGTGGAACAGCCTCTTCGGGCAGAGAGAGCACATCTTCTGCGAAGATGAGACATGTGCTGCCGCCGGCCTGTGAAAGCAGTTGCGCAACTTTCGCAAAAGCCAATCCCAGTTACGACGAGCTCAGCCCGTCGTTGTTTTGCTTCCAGGTTTGGCAGCTACTGCATGTAGTCGCTGCTTCAGTTGCAGCTGTCAAGCCCCCAGTCAGCGAATCGAGAAGCGTGAAAGCCCCCTCTCATTACTTCGCTTTAAGGTGGCTGTGACTGGGCAGCCGCTGGCTCAGCATGGCTCTTGGACAGTAACAGCGCCAGAGGCCATCGCCCCAGCACGCTGTTGGTTTCCGGCCCGGCCAAGTGAAGCGGCCAGGCGATGAGCTTCTTCCGCCTGGCCATCAGTGAGTTCTTCACTTGCGAGGGCTGCAGGTGCACAGCTCCAGGGCTGATGAGGCCCTGAGATGCCCTGAGATTCTGTGCCCTTGTGCCAGGCAACACTTCCTGGAAGCGTTCGACAGAGTCTTGGCTTTGGCAGTGTTTTCGAGGCGCCGTGCCACGCAGAGCCAGAGTGGTTGTTGGAAGTTTGGTGGACCTGAAAGCCTCAAGGATGTTTCTACGGGAGCTGCTTGGTTCTCGAAGCAGCAGATGCGCAGCTGCAGGCACAGAGATCGTTCATAACGATTGCATGTGTCTGCTAGATCAGGCTGTTACGGTTTGCATCCGCGAAGTAGGTCCGCATCATGAGTCAGCCGCAGTCCCCAAACATGATCACGTGCTTTACCCTTATCCTCGCTTTCTTCTCATGGACCTGACCGTTGCAGACTGCCTTGCACCACTAATGACAAATTGCTCCTGGAATCGTTCGCTGTGTTCAAAATGTAGAAGTAGATCGATCGATAGCTAGAGTCATGTGAGTCATATGTTTATGTCCGCATTGTTTAACATGTAAACAAGAAAACAAACAAGCAAATACACAACTAAACACACCCAAATGCATAAACATATAAACGTAAATGTCATGAACTTACATACACACAAAAGCCATGTGTAGAAATGTGTGTGCGTATGATATATATATATATATATATATGTATACATATATATATATATGTATATATACATACATACGTACATAGGGCCCGAGTCGCTCCCACAGCGGGAGAAGATCGTAGAGCCCCAGGACCCTGTAGATGCCCTTCGGGGCGGGGTTCGCCATGTGGTGCAGCCAGCTACCCAGCAACTTGCGGAGTCTGACGTTTGGCCATGCATTCAACCGGAGCCTAGAGGGCAGCCGACAACGCAGCAACCCGCGGAGTTTGACGTTGGGAAACCTGCGGGTTTTGACGTTTGGCCATGCATTCAACCGGAGCCTAGAGGGCAGCGGACAACCCAGCAACCTGCGGAGTTTGAAGTTTGGCTATGCGTTCAACCGGAGCCTCGAGGGCAGCCGACTACCCAGCAACCAGCGGAGTTGACGTTTGGCTATGCGTTCAACCGGAGCCTGGAGAGCAGCCAACTACCCAAGGTCTTGCAGCCTTCATGCTGTTGTTGAGTTTGATGTCTCGATATCACCTCGATGAAGGTGTTCTGACGTCTTGGGTATGTTAACTGTGTAGGGATGGCCTCAGCCGATACCCCTGAGGAAGATCCTGCACGTTTGAAGTCCGAATCCGATTTCCAAACTTAGTTCGGACGGTAGTTTGACTGGTGCTTTGATAGCCGACAACGGAATACAAAGCATCCTTAGTAGCCTCTGTGACTGGGGAAAATCTCTTGCTAGTTGAAGTGTTCCTTCTCATGACAGCCTGGGTGGCCACCAATTTTGGCAACTCTCTGATGGTTGCCATGTGCCTCAGTTTGATTTTGTTGTAGGGGTGGGACGGCTTTTCCCGTCTGCCGGTTACATCCCACCCTTGTCTGGTGAGCGCATACTATGTCCATAGATTTCTGCGCCACCTCCAACGGGCTTTGTGCCTTCGCGGCCCTCGACTGGCTTGCCGCACAATACGTGTGGAATGCCGGGTCGTCGTGTTCGCTTTTGAATTCAATGCCAGAATTTTGGGATGCGTCTGTCGACTCTGCTATCCGAAGCAAAAAAAAACATACGTACATATGTGTATATATATATGTATATATATATGTATATATATATATATATATATATATATATATATGTATATGTATATATATATATATATACATATGCATGAGTATGTATGTACGTACGAAGTCTCTGGCAAAGCGTCCACCAATAACAGTGAGCAGAACCGAAAACCCGACTTCACTCTTTGTAATTCCCTACGAACAAGTGTGGCCGCACCGAAGCCCTTGAAGGCACGACAGATGGTGTGGTGGCTTTGGCGCACCCACAATGCAGTCTCCCTGCGGGTCCTGAAAGAGCATCTTCCCGCTGAGGGTCAGGCAGGATGATTGTGATTTAGATCTTGGGCTGGGCCTGTCTCGTTGTGAGATCCCTGCGGTCTTCAATCCTCGACTTCTGGAACTTGAATGCCCTGTCTCCCGTAATCTTGCTCTGCGTCTTTCTAGTCTGCACCTTCTCATTCCAGAGCTAGTAACCATGCAGTAATCCCATGCCATCCTGACAAGCTGTGCGAAGCTTCTTGGCTCGCTTGAGCTCACCAGGCCGTTGTCGACCGCCGGTGGCCAGCATATCGAGACTGTCCAGGTGGCAAAGAGCTGATCCTCTGAGTCACGGACTATTTCATGACTCAGCTGCATGCGAAGGTTGTTGGAGAGCTGAAGTGGCAACTGGTGGCACGCAGACACACGCCCAGGTCCTGCTTGCCTGCATAGCTGCTTTGTTGTGCCCATGATGATTACCGGGAGGCATCCATGCATGCTCACCTGGCTTTGAAGGTTGATACGACTGGACCGGTGTCCATTCAGTTGTTGGATGCTGCATTCGATCTCGATCGGGTTTGGGACCAAGCTGATGCATGGTGTCACGGCAAAAGAGGAGTTTAAGATTGCCAGGTCTTCGGGTACATCCTGAGCCACTTGACCAGAAGCTTGCGGTGCAGTCAGAGAGGGTTGCATCCTGGATCTCCGGTCTAGAGATGTAGCTGGGAAAGGCCAGTATGTTGGACGGGAGAACTTGCAGCTGGAGCAGAAAGTTGCGGACAGCATCTGGAGGCCCAGCCGCCCAGCCTTGAGTCAAAACAGATTGTATGCTTGTTGTCACGTGGGCAGAGTCCTGTGAAGGTTTCCGGGCTCTGTGGAATCTACGACAGCTACAACTTTTTGCTTCTCTGCTGCATGTACTTAGATGTAGTTGGCTTCCTGCACAGGGTCTTACGTGGCTGGGGCATGGTATAGTGCTTTTCTGTAAATGCTGCGCCGCGTCCGCCTCGGCCCGGCCACAAATGAAGAGGGCCGATGAAATGCTCGAACCCCGAAGCCTTTACTGGGGAGTTACTCTGGGGAGTTACTGCGGGAGGAACAGGCGGTGCGGGGCGAAGGGCTTCGGCCGGGGCGCGAGCCGCGAGCCGGAGACCACGGAGCCCCTGCCTGGGGGGCCCAAACGGCGTGAAGCCGTTCGCTGCTTGCACAGGGTTGGGTTGTGCATCTATTGCTTTTGGCCTTCATGTAAGGCGTCGGGTTCGTGGCACATATCAGGCTGAGATTTGGCATGTGAATCCATATCACAGTTTCTGTTGCCAAGCCCATTGCTAAATCTGTGAACAAAGCGGTGATAGGCACAGATGCAGATCCATTAAATTCTGCTGCCAAACTTGATTGGCCAGGCGCTTGCATGCTTCTCTGTCTTTCAGCCGCGGCTGCTCTACGCAGTCGCAGAAGGCGAGTTGGCGACTGGCTACAGCCTACTCGTAGTACGTTGACTGTTATCAGCCGTCTGTTATCAGCCGTAGCAGCAGGCCATGCGACATGGCGCAGGAGTGAGTCGAGCTCAACTTAGCTTTTCCTCTTAGCTACTTGGAACTTCTCAGAGCGACATAGCATGCCTTTGCATGAGCTTTCAGCTTCCTTTTCCAAGCGTCAGGGTCCAAAGAATCGACCTCCGCTTCTGCGCAAAAAGCTGCTGAGCACGAAACATCACTTTCGGAGGGAGAAGGTCCAGAACAGCTCCGCACCGCACAGGCGCTGATGCACAGGCGTGCTGTGGAACTTGAGGCGCCCCCGTTCACCTGGACGTTTGTACCGTTTTGCCAGTCGTGATTCGTCTCTTGATTCTTCCGGCAAGGTCAACTGATACGAACTTGTCGGAAAGAAAGTCCATCAACGAAATCATCGTCTGTGCCAGGAAAGGGCGAAACGAGAGCACGAAATGTCGAGTCTGCAGTGCCACATCTTCGAGGCATCCTAGTGCTTGTGTATGTCGTTGCCAGGGACTGCAGTGATCTCACAGGTGGAGATGAAGCGCTGTCAGGAGGAGTTGCAGCATAGCCGCTCAAAGATAGAGGCAAACGGCGGGAAATGTGCACAAGCACTGATTGGCGACATGTGAACTGCTGACCTGCAGGCTTTGGAAAAAGAGCTCAAGCAGGCCGTAGAATGGATCCACGCAGGCTTGCCACTGGCCATGGTGAGAACAGGCGCAAAAGTCCAAGCAGCGGAAAGGAGAGGTGCGCTCCAAAGTCTGGGCGTCTGCAATCGCTTCTTGGCATCTGTGTTTTCGTGCATATCGGGTGCATCTGCAGAGAACTTTATGCAATGTTATGTCATGCGAGTGTGCCCAGTGCAGGGGTCTGCGAAGACTTCGGTTCCTTCCTCTCAGGACACTCTGAAGAGTAATGCCTGCAGCCTGCTTTCGATCATCTCTCCAGTGTCCACAGCTGGAGGATGCAGTGCGAAGACACGAGATCGCAGTGCGCGCAAGCTTCGAGGCGCTTCTGCAATTAGTTCCACTCAGTTACTCGTGCGGTGAAGCAGTTGTGCCCGCAATTCGCAATTGCAGTGTGAATGTGAAAGCCCTCCCTTTTGAGAAGGGTAGAGCAGCAAGCTTGACCGTACACCTGAACATCGGCGCGATGACGTGTGGAGATGTGTGCAGTATTCGGGGGCCAGTGCAGCCTGCACATGTCATCAATTTGCTTAAACCAAGTATTTTGCGGTCTGCGCTAGTACAGCAATCACTGTTCAGAATTCGTGAAATCGCAGGAGTGTCGAGAGAAAACTTCGCCATCCAAGCGTTCTTCGAATGAAGACGCCTCCCAGGCGACAACACGTATGTTACATAAGAGACGGTTAGGCACTGCCATGCAAGCCTTCCTTGAAACTGGTGCCTGAGGGTTGGCTGTCCTGTTGCTCCGTGCAATCAGCTCCAAAGAAGCGAATTTGAGGCATGGACTGTTTGCCTTGGACACCCCTGATACTGCGTTACAGCGCTGTCCCACCTCGAGCATGCGCTGTCAGGCTAATGCATCCTGAAGGGATTTCTGTCTTGCCCTGGGCAAGCAGCAGCTTTATTCAGCTATGGCTCTGCACATCACTCCGCACAGACCTGCGTGAGGGAGGCTGCAATCTTAACAGACTGCTCGTTTCACCACCTCAAATTCAACAGCAGCACATCATCGCATTCCTGGCTTGCAGTATCAGAGAGTGGTTTTCCATCGTTGGATGCTGAATGCATGCTGCTGCATTTGGAGCAGTTGTTTCCATAGTGCCATGGGAGCTTGCTTCGAGTCGTGCTACCATGCAACAGGACGTCAAAGGACTTGACCGCGCAAGACACGCAGAGAACGAACGCCTCCAAGATAGCCTACCTGGATCAGCTATCTTTTGTAATCGATGATCAGACAGTTGTGGCAGGGGTCACTTTCGTTGTCTCACAGACACGACACCCCATACACCCAAAGCGAGACCCAAACACAGAGCCACGACATCTATGATGTAGGCGACACTGTTGCATGTAGAAGTGATATGCAGGTTCAAATTGTTATGTATTTCTGGCAAGTCATTGCCCATCGAATCACGTGCATGCATGGAAGAAGTCAGCTATCGTGATTCTTGAATGGATACGGTGCAGTGCAGTGACGAGAAGCAGATCTCTGGACAATGTTGTGTTCTTGAAAGCCACAAGCACTCCTGATCTAACGTGAAAAGTACATGGGATGTGTTTAGTTTAGCACATTCTCCAACGAATTGAGCACTTCGACTCATTCTTGACCTTGCGTGCCGTGTAGCATTGTTCAATTAAAACCAGACTAGTTTTGGGTTTGACGAGGTGGAGTCCTTGCATTCATTGGCTTGTAGCCTTCATGGGTTTTTGTTGCAGCAGTTCTGTGATGCTAACTGTTTTACTTGAAACTTGTCCGAATGGTCCGACCATCAGAATAAGAACCTTGCTTGCCAGCCTTTTTAGAGAATCGCCAATATGTCGTCTCATGCTGGCCGTTTGCACAGTTGAATCCGCGAATTCGTGCTTAGAATTTTTTGTCGGTTGCTTTTACAAAAACTGGAACGTCCTGACCCGTTTGCGGATCTACCGCAACCGACATCGACCCCGCGTCCCACGTGCCGACGTGCGGGCCAGCTACCGTTGGGCCCCAGTTGCACTTTGGATCCAACGGCTTCGCGAGCAATGTGCTCTCCATGTGGGCCGGCGAGTCCGCCGAATCTTAAACGAAGCTTGGTCGCTTTTGGATCTGCTGCCTGTGCTCCAAGACATCCTACTTGTGTGGTCCTTGCGGCCCCGCATCGGGCACAGTGTACTGCGCGATGGCGAGCAGGCCATCGCGAAGCCAATGCCGTTTGTGTCTGAATGGGGGAAGTGACGACATTAAGTGCGTCGCGTGTGCATGCCGGCGTGGTAACCAGGTAAACGTGGTCGAAGAAAGCCGCGAGATCTCCGAGGCGCAGCCGTCTGTCTGCAGTGACGAGATCGTCGTCTTGGCCGAGGCCTTACAGCGCCACTGCCAGGGTGGCACTTTGTTCGCCCCCTTTGCCTGGATGGATGGTGCACCGCTCGTCGGCATCCCACCAGGAAACGGGACGAGTGCCGGGGCAACGCTGTGCAACTTGCCATGTGCGAGAACGTGCGAGATCGTTTCATAGGCACTATACGGCCGTCCAAGGACACAGGGTCGAGATCGACAGCGGTGCAAAGCATACCTGAAAGTGCGTCCGTGCCAGCCCGCCGCGTCTGCAGCGCAAACTGGTATGCGGCGACAATGACGTTGGGCGTGTGTGCAAACAGCTCGAGTGCCTCCGCATCGTCGACCGTCGAGCAACAGCGTCGCTCGCCATGTCGCAAATAAAAAGTGTCGGCAAATGTTGGCAAACATCCGGGCAAGGCAGAGCGACAAGAGACGCCGAAAAGTGTCACCAACGGCGAGGCCGTGTTATCACGGCTCCGCCGGGCTTGCGTTGGCGGGAGCATCCCGCTTCTGCCACGCTGTCGGTATCAAACATGTGCAGCGTGCCGGCGTTCTTGCGGCACACTGTGCGCCAGGCGTTCATCCTAGCATTACGCGCCTGGCGTGAGGCGTATGCCTGCGGAACGGCCATGCAGCTGCTCATGACCCGCTCTTGTTGGAAACTGTTCCTGTTGCTGACGCGTCTGCTCCGCGCTCGAGAGCCAGGCACCGTCGGACGAGAAGCCGTCTTTGTTGGGCAAACGGCAAACGCGGCAACAGGGAATCTGTTACACCTTATGATAAGATAGGAAAACCTTGACAGGATTCCGTCAAGCTTTGCCTGAGACCAATCCTGCAACGTTCACGCGACTTCCTGGTTGAACGCCTGTGCCCAGCTGCCCTCCGGCGCGCTGCAGCACGTAATGGACGTGCATGCTAGCTGTGGCGGCACAGTCGCGCTGGCCTACTCGCTGCTTGAGTTGCCGTTGGCGGGAGCGGACGAATTTGACGGCAGGGAGCCACCTTTAGGTGACATGCGGGCGGATGCTTGTGACATCTGGTGATGCCGAAGCCGTGGTCGGCAGCCGCTTCCCTGCGTACTGTAGCTGTTTTGCTGCGCAACAGCAAGCTCTGATTGCCTTTGAAGGACAAACAAAACATATCCGCATGTGCCCGGCGAGTGCGCGGGGGTCGCTCGAAAACTCCGTGGGCTACAACATCCGTCTGTCGCTGGTCTGCAGTCAAGGGGTTTCGACAATGTAACTCAATAGGTTTCTAAGGTGTCAGAAGGTAGGTCCGGTGGGGTAGTCTGACTCAGTCATCACCCAGTGCCTCCCCAGCCTGCGCGAACTTGGGTCCCACCCCTCTGCAATCTTGGTACGACTAAGCCACATCCGGACGGCAACTTTGCCGCCAAAACCTCGCAAAGCTGCGCATGCAACGCTGCTTCACAGTGCTGGACCGATCGATGTTCGGCTGACTCTGAGTGCCCGACGGCACATTCGTCGGTGGCATTGGCATCAGCTTGGGTGTGCTGCCGAGCTCGCAGCCTCGTGGCCTCGCCGGTGATTAGGGCACAAGTTGTATGAACTTTTGGCCGGCATGCGCGAGGACTTGTATGTTTAGTGCTGTCGTTGTGCCAGGTACGGAACACTATCACGGACGTGCTGGCGGTTGCTTCCAGCATCTTCCAGCAGTTCCATGTGTTGTCGATCGTGTTTTTTTGACTGCTGGTCCGCGGGACTGCGTTTGACCGTGCTCTGCAGTCAGCAACGAAACAGTGCCGGCCGCTTGACGGGCAGTGTCCTTAGAATGGCCTCAAAGCATTAAGCCGTGATTGCTCCAGCGACAACCGCAATCGCCGATTTTTGCCTGGCTACAGAATGAAACGTGTTGCAAAACCGAGGACCGGTAACCAACCCTCATACGCCCCGTTCCCGGTGCTGACGCGCGGGCGGGAGTCGCGCTTGTCGCCAACACCCCACTGCGGCTCCCTGGGTGCGCCGCTGGTGGATCGTGCTGTCGGTTGCCCTGCAGCGAGCCGTTGCCAGCTCCGCGCTTGGTGTCTGGTCCATGACGCTGCTGCCTGAACTTCGTGATGGCAAGTGCTCATGAGTGCCCCGAGCCGGCTGCCGCTTCGCTGCCACCGCACGGTCCATGCCGCCGAAGCCTGGTGCGCCAAACGCGCTCCCGTTGGGTGACGTATTGGACCTCGCGATAGCGAACGCCCCGAGAGCTGCCGCTTCGCTAACACCCTTGTCGGTGTCTAGGTGGATACGGACGGTAGGACACGTTTATACGTTGTATGGACGAGTTATGGACGTGAAGAGGTGCGGGCAAAGAAGAAGACGCCCTTGCAGACTCATCCAAGCAGCTCGTGCACTTATATGGCCGCAGCCGTATGCGTCGAACGCGTCGATCTTCCAGCGGTCGCCAGGTTCCAGCAGTTTTGGCCGTGGTGTTTGATGGCGGCTGCGGACCCACGACGGTAGACCTCTTCCCCTTTCGCTGCCGATGTGAGGCGCGCTTGGTTTGGCCGGCCGAAACGGCACCAGATCACCCGGCAAGAATACTCCTCATAGTACCTGCTGCAACCGCCGTAAGCACCCAACGACTCCTTCAACTGGTGCAGCCGCAACCGCAGTGAACACCTAACGACTCTGTTGGCGTACCTTTATTGAACCAGCTGCAGCCACAGTGTGCGCCTGGCGACATTTGGAACCGGCCTCAGCAGCTGTGAGCGGCTGACGACTTCTTGTGTCTCTGCTAGTACCAGCTGCAGCCGCAGTGAACGCTTGAACAGTTCTTGGTGTACTCCTTTTGAACCACGTGCAGGCTAGAAGAACAGGTCGGAGCGGGAGCATTCCGTATAGTGGACAGCCTGGTATCAAATTGCCGTGTTGTGCTCGTCTCGCCAATTACGAAGCGGGGCCGAGGCCCAACTACGGGCTGATGTGCAGCCGAGAAGCGCCCGGCTTGGATAGCCAGAGGCGCACGGTGCGCTCGATACAATCTCGAGAAATGATGTCGCAAGATGCATACGGCCCTTCACCATCCCACAACAAGGCTTCCAGCTTGCACTACCACTCAGACCGGCTCCCCAATTGCCGCCCCCTGCTGCCAAGACAAAAGCGCAAGTGCCGTTGCGCCCGAACTTCGACCCACTGTCGGTTGTTCCAGCGCATGTTTGTAAAGCACACTTGTTGAACAACTTGCGCAGGGCACGACGGGGAGCAGCAATGGGCCCGTCCGGGTGCACCAACCAACACCTCAAGGTTGTGATGGATGATGAACATCACTACACGGCTATTGGGGCATGCCGTGGACAAGCTTGCGGGGGCGAAGATTCCTCGCGACGTGTTGTTGCCGCCATGCTGCGCAGCCAGGCGGGGTATAGGCAGGCATGAGGATTTGCTCGCGCACTTGCCCGCGCAGCAGGACCTGCAAAGCGCATGGTGCTCCTGCTGTGTGGGGCGTGCCGCCGAGTCTCACGGACGACTTCGCTGCAGCCCATGACGCAGCGGTCCCACGCTGACGCGCTGTTCTATTAGCCGTGGGCGACGAGCCCCTTGTGCCGGAGCCGCCGTGGAAGACCGTGTGCTCGAGATGGTTTGCGCAGTTGTTGCGCTGACTTGGTCTCTGCATCATTCTGCATCTCAAGCACTGCGGCGATGCTTCGTGCCGCTGTCGAGCTCGACCCCAGGACCACTGTCGTTTCCCTCGACGGGCGCAGTGCTTACGATACCATCAGCCGCGCGACTATACTCGCCAAGTTGCGCGACACCGTCCCGCCGCTCGTGCCCTTTGCCCGAGCCATGTACGCGCGCACCTCCATTTACCTGTGGTGGGACAGCCATGGGCGAGTGCACGAAATCACGCAGGCCGAAGGAGTCGAGCAGGGCGACCCCCTCGCACCGGGGCTTTATGCGCTTGGTCAGCACGATTCGCTCGTTGCCGCGAGTGCTTCTCTGCCTGGCCGGCCTTTAGCAGGGAATGAGGGAATGAGTGGGGCACGGCGCCAGCGCCGATCTTAGCACTGGGGCACTGCTTAAATGCAAAAAACATCGGCGACAACTCGCACTTCGTAGCACTGGGCACCGCTGCGAGGCCAAACCAACGGCAACAAATCATATTTCTTAGCACTGGGACTCCACTTGGAGGCCAAAAAACGGCAACAAATCGCACCCATGTACAAGTCCAACGGATTTAAAATCCGTTGGACTTGAATTTGAGGAGGTTTGAAACCCCCAAAAGACCCGCTGATGCGCATGATGCTCGGCCCCTGCCCTCCCAGACACGAGTCCAGCGGATTTAAAATCCGTTGGAGTTGCGTCTGGGAGGGATTTAGCTGGAATTGAAGCCCGAAAAAGCCCACTGATGAAGGTCTTTCCACTCACATTTTACTATTTGCTTGAGTACTAAGTAGCAGTCGTCGTCGTGGTAGTGGTAGGCCTGGTGGCGGTAGTCGTGGTAGCGGTAGTGGTAGTGGCAGTGGTAGGGGTAGTGGAATGGCAGTGGCAGTGGTAGCGGTAGTGGTAGTGCAGTTGCAGCAGTAGTGGGAGTAGTAGCAGTAGTAGCTGTAGCGGCAGTAGTAGAAAGGGTAGTAGTAGCAGTAGCAACAGCGCCACAGCCCGGCCTTGTTATGCAGGTGTCTTGCTTCGCTTGGCGGGTTTGGGTGGTATACGCGGGAGTTTGAGCGTTGGGGTGGGATTCAGGCTTCAGGCTACTTGGAGGATCATGAGGCTTAGTAATTTGGGCTATAAATAAGGTAACTATACTTATAACTCCAACTAGGGTACTTATAACCTTACTAAGTCCCGTGGTCCTCCAAGTAGGGGTTGAGGTCGCAGGCAGCCCGACGAGAAACTCCGTTGGCCTGGCCTTCCTCTAGCGGTTCCTCTCCGGGCGGGCGGCTTTGGCGAGCAGCACTCGCGACGACCCGCCGCTTGCTCGGAGACCCCAAACCGGGCACTGCCGAAAAGAGAAAGGGGAGGTGGGAGGCCAGGCCAACAGAACGTTCAAAGGCACCCGACCCTCACCCTAGCCCTAACCCTGGCATATGGGGCCGTGGGGTGGCTAGGGGTGTGGCAGTGGCGGTGGGGAGGAAGGAAGGAAAATTTTTGCAATGATACACTATGTGCGTGCGTGCGAACGAACCGGGGGAGCATCATATACCCACCTAGCAAAAAAGAATTTCCA